TTAAGCTTTTCTCTAGTACATCTGCAGATTTATCTTTGTGTGCTTTGTTAAATGTAAAACACAAACCTAAGTGATAGTCATTAGTTGGTTCTAAATGCAAGGATAAGATGGATAGAAAGGTGATAGAGAGATAGTTAGAGGTTTCTAACCAAGAGTTAAATAAGGGGATTTAACAGCACCCATAAGAACCCTTAACTTCACTTAAGGAGAGTTGGTTAATAGAGGAAAATGATTATGTGTGGAGTGGGAGGGATGGAAGAAGAGACAGGGCGTGTGTATGTGCATGTGTGGAGGGACAGGGGTGAGTTAAAAAGGATCAAATAAAGGAGTACCAAAGACAACACAAAGCGGAGAAAGAGACCACATTTCGAACAAAGTGGTCTCATTAATGCAGTGTGCATCAACTAAATTGTTGATCTAAATCCTTTTGATATCCTTGAAACTCAAGTGAAAAGGACTGGACTTTGGGTCCTCTTTGTGTGTTTGTGTGTGTGTCATTGTATCCCTGGATTAAAAAAAAAAAACCAGTAGTAAAATGCCCGAGAGTGTGTCACGCCGAAAGTGATGGGGTGGTGTGTTTTATCCGTAAATTGAAGGGTCTGTTAAAAGGAGAGAGAGATGAGCCTCTCTTATAGTGTGTGTGCCTGTGTGTATATTTGTGAGTGTGTGTCCTCTCCCTGCAGTATCAGTCTCTTCTGCTTGATTTCCGAGTTCTCCTCCCTGCCTCTCTTCTGCTCGCTATGCCGTGAAATAGTTTTTCACTAGACCATTACCCCGACCAGTGCACTACTGTGCTGCCCCAGCCCTTTGTGAGTGAAGGGAAGTGTGTTAAGGTGGGTCTAGGGAGAGGAAAAGATGTGCTTTTGGTTGTGTATGAGAGCGCTTGTACTCAAAACAGTAAGATTGTGCCTTTTTTTTTTTTTTTTTGTATGTGGCAAAGATGAGTTGTGTAAACATACTGGTAAGTAGGTGTGTATGTGTGTGGCTGAACGTGAGGAGAAAATAGAAAGGGTGTGTACAGTAGATCTTATACAGGCTCAGCTGGCACAGTGTTTGCAACAGTTGTGTTATCTACAAACATCCACAATTGTTTCCTCATAACTACACTCTCAAGTTTTGGAACTAAATTAAACAATTTAGTTCCAAAACTGGAGAATCTAAGGTTTTCATTTAGGGCATATTCATTGCATCGTGGCTTGTTGGATGGGAATTGTTTGGTGCTATGTCTTCATTAAACAATTTATAGTTCTTGGATTTATTTTTGCACTTTGTGCGCTCTCATATCTCAGTGCTTTAACAAAATTAAGACAACTGAGCCATTTTTAGACATCTGTTTTTTTTTTTATATATATATTAATGTAATATAAACAAAAAATGTATATTACAACTAATTTTGTAAAGTTTTATGTTTTTACATATTCATAGAGTTTCTATAAATTCTTTGTACTTTTTTGGGTCACAATAGTTTTCAGTCAGAGGGGTTAAGTAAACTAGAATCTGTACAGATCACCTCTTCTTACTGGAGACAAAAATACAAAAATATATGCTCATACATAGTCAGTTTTTAGATTTGGCTTCATTAGCTTTGATATAGTAATAAAACAAAGTTTGGCAGGAATAAAATAATTTTGCATCAACAAGGTGATTTTCAAAAAGGTTCTAAATTATTTTGGTGTCCAGTGCACCCTTTAATGTTTGATGAAACCAGGCAAGTTGGGGACAAAAGAAGAAGGGCCATCTGATTAATTATTTCTAGAAATATCATTCTTGATTAAAGGTAGAAAAAAATAAATTGCCAATACCAAACAAAGGATCTTGAAAGTGCCTTTGACGCTTTGGTTGATCAATCCATTCTGCTGCATTGCTTTCGGTACAGTAACAAAAAGATAAACTAAATGAGAGGACTGAGATGTGACACAACAAAAACTGTTTTGAAAATGATTAACAATAGGCGTCATAAATTGATCACTGGTGAGAAAAATTGGATTCACGTCATCAGCATGTACAAAGTGTGTTGAGAGGGGGTAAACTACGAGCATCTTCAACCATCTTTAAAACAATATGGACGTTCCGTCATGGTTTTAAGACTGGATGTCAAAATTATTTATACTGTGAATGCAGAAAACTACTGTTTGATTTTAATTTGCCATTAAATACAATCTAGAAAGCCTCCTTTTAGAACAAATATCTTTAGTTCAATCAATTCAGTGTCTAAAGTGGCTTCGGTAAAATCTAGTGAGGATATCACAGCTGGAAAATGCTTAATTCAAGGATAAGTTAATGGAATTTGTATGCAAGAAACTGAAAAAAAAAGAAAAGAGAACATTATCCCTTAATCCAACAAAGTTTAGACATGTTCTCTGGACGGTTTCTTTGTGTTGAAATGTTTCGTCTTTCATCCAAAGGACTTCTTCAGTCCGAGGAGCCACAACAAGCTCCGTCCCATAAGCAGCACACTCACATAGTGGGCCAACCAGTTTGGAGTCTGCCTTCTCTACCGTCGACTTCTATGAGGCAGCCATGGTCAAAGTGTTTAAAAACTTCAAAGTCCTGTTTGAACAAAACAAAAGTGGTTCAAAACAACTTTGATGTTTTGAACCACTTTGGCTATGGCTGCCACAGAGGAGTCAGTGGGGGAGAGGGCGGACTACAGAAAAACATCTTATCACCATCAAACTGGTTGGCCCACTATGCGAGTGTGCTGCGTCTGGGACAGAGTTTGTTGTGGCTCCTCAGACTGAAGAAGTCCTTTGGATGAAAAACGAAATGTTTCAACACAAAGAAACCGTCCAGAGGACCTGACTGAACCTGGTTGGATTATTTTACCTGGATTATTGAGCATGAGCTTTGATTATGCTTTAATGAAGTTTCATGCGAAACGAACCGCTTTCTCTTTAAAATGTCTCATAAATATGATTCTTTTTAGTGCTTTCTTTATTGATAAATGTGTTTTCCTTCACATCCTCACTCACCTCTTAGCCTCCACCTCATGATGCAAGTCATTCATTCCCTCATCTCCAACCCCTCTAGCCATCTCGACTTCTCTCCGTTAACATCTTGTTTAAATCGTGCCATTATTATCCCTTTCACCTCGCCACTCTGCCGCCCTTGTCTTCACCTCATTCATTCTCTTGTTTTATAAGTCACCTTTCATCTCTGTTCTCTCCCTTTGCCACTTCTCGACAACTTCATAATGTCCCTCCTCCTCCTCTCTAAGTCGTTTACTCCCCATTCACTCCATCTCTCTTTCCTCCTTTCTTCTCCGTCTAATGCCTTTTCATTCATTCGCTCCACATCTCTATTTGCTTTTAATATCCCGCTGTTTCCCTACCTGAGATATTGAAGCCATAAAGACAGGTGTTCAAAAGAAAGCAGGGCCAGCAAATCTGTTTTATATGCTTTCCGGCTTCATTCCATGGGATGTGGATAGAAATGGAAAGCCAGAGAAGGAGAGCAAAACATGTACTATTTGATATTTAATTATCACTGCATTGTAGACAGAAAAACATAGTTGAAACCTTTTAACCGTTTTGTCTACAACAGTTGCAATGTGAACACTTTAATTCATACAGTAGACTTTTCACAAAAACTAAATGCAGACAATCTTCAAAGTTCATGCTCAATAATCCAGGTAAAACAATCCAGCAAAGCTCAGTCAGGTAATCTGGATGGTATCTTTTTTTTTTTTTTTTTCATTTCGTCCTTCATCCAAAGGACTTCATCAGTCCGAGGAGCCACAAACAAACCCAATCCCACAAGCAGCACACTCGTATAGTGGACCAACCACTGTTGGCTATGTCCACAATTTGGCTATGGCTGCCTCAGAGGAGTCAACGGGGGAGAGCGTGGGCCCCAGAAACCATCTTATCACCAGAAAACTGGTTGGTCCACTATGTGAGTGCGCTGCTTGTGGGACTGAGTTTGTTATGGCTCCTCAGACTGATGAAGTCCTTTGAATGAAGGACAAAATGTCTAAACAATGAAAAAGAAACGCCCAGATGACCTGACTTAACTTTGTTGGATTTGTTTTTACCTGGATTATTGAGCATGAACTTTGGTGTTTTGAACCACTTTGGCTATGACTGCCTCAGAGGAGTCGACGGGGGAGAGCATGGGCCCCAGATACCATCTTATCACCAGCAAACTGGTTGGTCTACCATGTGAGTGTGCTGCTTGTGGGACTGAGTTTGTTTGTGGCTCCTTGGGCTGAATAAGTCCTTTGGATGAAGAACGAAACGTCTCAACAACAAAAATAGAAACCATCCAGATGACCTGACTGTACTTTGTTAAATGCAAACAAAATTCCCAGTCACCTAAATACCCCATCTTTCTGCATTAGTACATGTTTAAATTGAAGTTTTAAATAAAATGTCTTCTTCACTAAAGTGTGTTGATGCATGAGGTTTAGTTTGATTTATGCTCCTCCAAATAATCCTGGCTATTCCCTAAGAAATTCTGTTTATATGTACATATGTATGTGTGGGGGCTGGGGAGGGGGGATTTTAAAAGGAAAAGAGAGAAGGGAGTAAGTGTAGAGGAGAAAATGAGATGGTGAGGGTTAGAGTGAACCAATGAGAAGAAGTAGGAAAGATTGAACTGTCAGCAGCCTGGATTAATCTTTTTTTTTTTTTCAATATACAGATGAAATTCAGCTCAATTCGTGTGTTTGTGTGCGTGTTAAAGTGAGACGTAATGTTTTGAAGTAACCTAATCTTGGACGGAGACCCTTTTTAGCCCCAACAAACCTCAGAAGGCGTAAATCCCCAGTAACTAGCCTTTGTTGATCTTAAATTACCCCCACATCACAAACGCTCGCGCACACATCGAAGATGAGGGGCTTATGGGTGTGCATTGCACATGCTTAGGCTTACAGTTTTAAAGTTTCTGCTTACTTTGGGCAGGCAAATGTAGTGTATAATTTAGGCTACTACACTTGAAAGGTAACAAAACCTTGTGATTTAACGCCCCCCACAAACTAACCATTTATTTTTCTTCAACAGATGCCAGCCAAAGGGACAGATCATCGTGTGACACCGCGGTATGAAGAGGTGGAACGTCAGTACGCCTCCTTACCAAGGTATTGCATTGTCTCATTGCTTTTTGCGAGAGGGTTCATTAAACAATTTTTTATGTTTCACATATTTGTTCTGTCTTCTTTGTTTTCTTCTATTCCTTTTATGAAATCTTTTTGTCTCCTGACTGTCTCCGGAGGCCACGTCTCAGACAAGAACTCACCTCCGCTCTGGGGAAAACACACTCAGACGGGGCTGAAAACTGATCCCTAACTCCAAAGTCTGCACCCCCATCAAAACGTTCTTGGGCTTATCTTGTCAGACATTTTCAGTCTTTGTGAATGCCTTATCTAAGTGAGCTGATGTGGTTCAGACACTCATTTCTATTCAGTGAGAATCTGGATGACTTATGCTGCTTATAGAGCCCAATCATATCTAATTAAACTTTATTTAAAGCTTCACAGATAGATGATCACAAATTCAGTTCAGTTTATTTATAAAGTGCCAAGTCACAACAGAAGTCGTCTCAGGGCACTGAACAGAAACATTTATATATATATATATATATATATATATATATATATATATATACAAAATAATACGTTAACACTATTAATCTGAGGAGCAGACTGCAATTCATTTCAGGAAATTAGGTCAATTTGTCCTCTAGTAGTCTAAGCCTATAGCAGTATAACAAGCCAACCCTAACTATAGGATTTATCAAAAAGGAAAGTCTTAAGCCGAGTCTTAAAACTGGACAATGTGTCAGCCTCATGGACAGAAACTGGAATCTGGTTCCATAAGAGAGGAGCCTGATAACTGAAAGATCATCCTCCCATTCTGCTTTTTGAAACTCTAGGAATTGTGAGTAAGCCTGCAGTCTGAGAGCGAAGTGCTCTGTTAGGAAGAATGATCAAATGATCAAAATAATCAAAAGATGCATTTTATTATTTTATTCTTGACTATTATGCCTTAATATTGATCTTACAATAACTGTAAAACTTAGTTCTTCCAGCTTTAAACGTTTATTAATGAAACCGTAAATTATTTAGTCCTTAACATGCATTGAAACAATTGTTCTATTTTTAACTGCAAAACATAACCAGGATTTTTTTTTTTTAAGAATTAGTTTCTTAAAATTCATCTACAGCAAAAAAAAAAAGTAAATAATTTAAAAAATAACATTGAGTTGAAATAGTTCCAAAAATGCATCCGACATTCATCCTAAAACTTTATTTAAAATTAAAACAAAATGAAGAGGCAATATGTAAAAAACATAAGTGTCTCCTTTCCTGCTCCATAGACATTAAGAGGGGAAGTAGTAGCCACGTTTTGCTTTTTTAATAAAACCGACTAAGCTTTTTGCACAGTGATAGCTGGACATGGGCTCCAGTCACCCCCACGACCCAAAAAGGAAGAAGCGGGTAAACAATAATGAATGGATGGATGGAAGTTTTAGAAAAACTAAGACTGGCAGTTTGCTGCTTAGAATCTTGTGTGTTTTAGCACAATGCCAGAAAGGAAACACATCAGCAATGGTCTTAAAGAAGCAACTGTTGCTGCCCATCAATCTGGGAAGGGTTAAAAGTCTGTTGGAACAGTTTGGAGTCCATTATTTTATGCAAAATGTTCTCAAGTTTAAAACCGCTGGGCGCTGTAAATCCTTCTTAGAGTGGACGTGAGTTCACCCCAAAGTCTGTTCAGTGCTCATGGACATTATATGAAACCCAGGAGCTTTGTATGAGACTACAGGATTATTGTGGGGGGGGGGGGGGGGGTTTACATTTAGTTTGTGCTCTATTTAATATTGTTTCTATAATAATTTGGGGAGTGGGTAACTTTACAGAAGACAAGCATTTTAGACACATAACAAGGCAGAAATCAGGACATACAAAGAGAACTCTGATATTTGGTAATCTAGCAAGAGAACATGATCACTCACTGATACTTCAGCCATTTGTTGAGTGCTTTATGTTGATTTTTCTTCTTGGACAGCATGAAATGTTGCAAACCTTATCCAACACAAGAATGACACTTGAGTGTATTATTCAACTCTTGATATATTCTATGGTTATTTCTCCTGTGCTTTCAATGTGATCAGATAAATATAACTTACTCTAAAATGTTAAGGACAGTTGTACAGAATCATCTAACCATCACTTTTTTTTTGCATTTTTGTATTTGCAACTTTGCCACTTTGGTTTAGTCCCAGCCAAAAAAAAAAAGATCACCCTCCTCTAACATCACAGTTTATTTTCTTCCGATCTCTCGTTTATTGAAATCATGAAACCCAATGAATCCAGTCAGTTATTGGTACTTAGACTACAAACATGTCAAAGACAAAAACCTGGATGACCTTTAATTTTCTGCTGGACATGTCCTTTATCCCCCACATAAAAAAATGTTATTAGAACCGCCTTCTTCCACCTGCGTAATATCACTAAAATTTGAAACATCTTAATGATGCAGAAAAACTGGTTCATGCATTTGTCACATCTAGACTGGACTATTGCAATGGTTTATTATCTGGATGTCCAAATACTTCTTTAAAAAGTCTTCAGTTAATCCCAAATGCTGCTGCCAGAGTCTTAACTGGAGTTAGTGGGAGAGATCATATCCCTCCAGTTTTAGCTTCTCTCCACTGGCTCCCTGTCAAATTCAGGATATAATTCAAAATCTTACTTCTAACCTACAAAGCCCTCAACAACCTTGCTCCATCGTATATTGCAGATCTTACAGAACTTTCTGTGCAGGCTTATCAGAAATGCCAGCTGAAACAACATCTTCAGAAACTGTGGCTGATCTGAAAAGCGCTCATAGACTAATCTCAACACCTCGACGTCAAATGCATATGTAATCTTCAACAAAGTCCATTGTCAATAATCCAGTTATACAATCCAACATTTTTCAGTCAGGTCATCTGGACAGTTTATTTTTTTGTGCTGAAACGTTTCGCCTTCGATCCGGAAGGCTTCATCAGTCAAGGAAACCAAAAAAAAGGCCGGCAATGAAGGAGGGGGCGTGCCAAAGACACCATCTTAGCACCAACATAACTGGTTTGTTCCACTTTGGAGTAAGCTGTTAGGGGAAGAATCAGTTTTGTGTTGTGTGTTTCCTTGACTGATGAAGCATTCCGGATCGAAGGCGAAACGTTTCAGCACAAAAAAAGAAACTGTCCAGATGACCTGACTGAAAAATGTTACATATGTAATTATGTTTTAATTGTGCTTGCTGGTAGAGTTTTTTTTTATGTCTCAAATCGTGTCCCGATAGACAAGATGTGAAAGATCTCTTTTTGTAATACTACTATCTACCCTCATGTTTCTCCCCCTTTTCCTATCTAAGATTATTATTCTGAAAAAGGATAAGAAAGGCCACGTTTAGTTATAGTAGCAGCTTCGTGCACTCTGTCCATCTTCCGGAGGACTGCATGTACATGCTCTCGTTGTATCTCGGTGCAATGATAATAAAACTTTTTCTGATTCTGATTATTGTTCCACATTTTCTAACAGAGCACTTCACTCTCAGACTTCAGGTTTCCTTGTGGTTCCTAGAGTTTCCAGAAGCAAAATGGGAGGAAGATCTTTCAGTTATCAGGCTCCTCTCTTGTGGAACCAACTTCCAGTTTCTGCCTGTAAGGCTGACACATTGTCCAGTTTTAAGACTGGACTTAAGACTTTCCTTTTTGGTAAATCCTATAGTTAGGGTTGGCTTGTTATGCTGCTATAGGCTTAGACTACTGGAGGACAATGTGACCTAATTTCTTAAAATTAATTGTTACAGTTAAATATTTTGCATTTTAAATTATTTCTATCTTAACGTGATTCTTGACCTGCCATTGTTTCTGTTCCTCTCAAACCCAGCCGGTTAAAGCAGATGGTCGCTTGTCCTGATCCTGGTTTTGCTAAAGGTTTCTTCCTCATGAAGGAAGTTTTCCTTCCCACTGTCGCCTTCATGCTTGCTCAAGATGAGAGTTCTGTGATGGAGTTAAACTCAAAGCAGTCTGCTCCTCAGATAAATAGTGTTATTAATTTACTTTTTTTGTATATGAATGTTTCTGTTCAGTGCCCTGAGATGACTTTTGTTGTGACTTGGCACTTTATAAATAAACTGAACTGAATTGAATTGAAACATTACATTTCCCAGCTGTTTTTTTTTTTGTTTTTTTTACCACCACATGATCTCCTGCTCCCGTGACCCAAAATGGAAGAAGCGGGTAAAAGTTAATTGATGGATGGATGGGTTCTCCTGCTTTGAATGTCCAACTACCTGTAATGTTTTAAAATGGATTAGTTGGAGAACAGTAAAAGTGTTCAGTAGTCACTAGCTACCAACACAGCTGACTAACAAATGCTTGTTTGTTTGTGTCTGCCAGCACAAGTGAGTCTGTAAGTTCAGCTGAAGAACAGAAGTTAAGAACATTAGAAAGTTTATGGTCAGGTTCCCAACCCTGTTAAAATGGTGAGATGACCATTTCACACCTCTCTTGTCTCTGTCACGTGTGTGTGTGTGTGTCCGAGATGAAGAGGGAGGGTGTCTGTGTGGGTGATGACTTTGGCAGATGGGAGCGAGAACAGCGCTGATAGTTTTGAGGTCTGGCTCTGGTATCTGGAAAGCCTTGGGAGGTTGGACACTTTCACAGACGCTGGCATACAGTACATTCTTGTTCTGTTTCCACTTAGAGACGTGCACTTTCACTTATAAATACTGTCAAATGCAAATGTATGTGTCAGTGGTCAGACGTCACTGTGCTTATATGTTGCCTCGTTGACAGTTATAAGGGCGCATTTCACTAAAACATACAAGATAAAAACAAAATCTTATCTCTAAACAGAAACCTTCTTGTATTACACTTGTAAATAATTCATTTAAAAGACACATTTGTATGATTGGAATGACTTCTCAACCAGAAAACTGCTTTGCCTTCAGGATTAGATAATAGTTTTATGCAGTGTCTTGTGCTGCCAAGTCTCAGATGGTAGAAGCCAAATTTTTTTGCAAGCGTTGCACTTTATTCCAAAACAGCCTTTTCTGCAATGACCACGCCAGCCTGAAAGCAAAAGCA